TGTAAATTTCTAAGCTCGATCTTGGTTAGAATTGCCAGATGAATAGAATGAAAGCAGTTTTACTTTACGGACTGATATGTAAGTTTATTTTAATTAATTTTTTTGTCACATGTTTATTTAAGTAGTTAGCGTACTTTATGATACAGCAAAATTGACAGCACAAATAAAGTTGAATGTCATTGTAAATTCCTATAATGATGTATTTTGGTTTCTTAAGCATAACTGGACTTCAATAAGACATTTATCTGCCATTTTGTGTCCATACTTGTGCGTTAGAATTGGCATGTTATGAACTGAGAAAGACTGATTTGATGGAAAATTGAGGTCGACCCTACAGGTGGTCAGTGGGTGGTTTATGCATAAAGGGTCTTTGTTTTCATATTCTTGTTGGTATGATATTTTTCTGATGCATGATGTGTTAGCTATATGCATCTGAGTAACACTGATACAACTATCTGGTAGCTTTTCCATGGTTAATGTAGTTGTCCTCTGTCTTAGGTAACTTGGATTGGCTATCCAAATACAACTGGTTTGCCTACTATAGACTACAGAATCACTGACTCCCTAGCAGATCCTCCTGATACGAAGCAGAAGTATCTCTCTCTCTCTCTCTCTCTCTCACACACACACACACACACACACACACACACACTTACACACTTGAACTGCCGCTTTGTTGTTTCTGGATCTTATAATTGTTGGCTCAGTGTTTGAGCTCCTCCCCCAGGACATCCTCAAAGGGAAAAATGCTATTCTGCCTAAACAATATGAGATGCACTTGCAAATGTTTTATTGTACTCTGTTTTCTGCAGGCACGTTGAAGAGCTGATCCGGTTGCCGGAGTGCTTCCTTTGTTATACACCTTCCCCTGAGGCTGGGCCTGTTTGTCCGACTCCTGCGCTTTCAAATGGCTTTGTAACATTTGGTAGCTTCAATAACTTGGCAAAGGTATTGATTAACATGCCGCAGTGACTATTGTGCTCATAAATTGAACTCCTTGTTTCTGCCTTGCCTCCAATTTATTTTTACTTGTGTGCAGGGGAGTGTTAAGTATCTGACGCTGTTATCTGTTGCTCTTCTCTCTCTTCCTATATCAGATAACTCCTAAAGTGCTGCAAGTTTGGGCAAGAATACTTTGTGCAGTTCCAAACTCTCGTCTGGTGGTAAAGTGTAAACCTTTTTGTTGTGATAGTGTAAGGCAGAGATTCCTCACAACTTTGGAAGAGCTGGGATTGGAATCTTTACGTGTTGATCTACTTCCGCTAATTCTTCTTAATCATGATCATATGCAAGCATATTCTCTCATGGATATCAGGTAAGATATGTGTTCTCAATTAGTTAGATGCAGTGCTAGTGTGCTCTGTCCCTCTTCTCTCTCTTCCAACTCTCTTTCAATCATAGCCTAGGTATCATTCTTTATGTACATGCTGTTGGGACCTGTATCTTTCACCCTTTCTTCTGCTCATTGTTGAATCTCAGAGTTTTTATCTTTATAGCAGAAATATCATTTCTCCACGTCTATTCAAATATGTTGTACCTTTCCATTACTGCATCCACAGTTGTAAATGTGCTGCTTGATTGTTGAGTCCTGTATCATATAGCAAACTAAGAGCGAAGCTTAACAATGAACTAAAATTTAAGAAATTTGCTTGTCTGAGTCCTCATTAAAGAGGAACAGAATGGAAGTTTTACTGACTGTTCTTGTCTCTTTCTAAATGAAAACCATCCCGTTTTTAGTGTTTCTTAAAAATGTCAATATTTTAATTTTAAAAGCTCAAAGTTTTGAACTTTAATGCGTTGGCTAGTTCATGTCTAACAGACAGAGAAAAAAAACGGTTTTTTGCTCTTCTACATCTTTGTTCAGGTGGCTGCGTACATCAGTAATCCTGAACATGTTTCTGGATGCATTGGAGTTTCTGCATATTTTGGTGACATTATAATTTGCGTTGTTCTTTATGTTGTAGCTTGGATACTTTTCCTTATGCTGGAACTACTACAACATGTGAATCATTATACATGGGGGTCCCGTGCATTGCAATGGCCGGTTCAGTTCATGCTCACAATGTTGGTGTGAGTCTTCTGACAACAGTTGGTGAGCATTTTGATGCCTAGTGCTCCTTTTGATAAAATGCGCCTATTCAATCAGTTTGCCTGATGTTCTTCACTACTTCATATGTGTGAATATCGGGAATTTGTTCTACATAAATGTGTGTACCATAACTGCTTCACTGTCTTCTTCAATGTAGGATATGTAATTTTTTAGTTGTCATTAGGATTTCACTATAAAGCAACCTTACAACTAGCATTTGTTGAAAAAATTCTGCTAGACGAAAATGGGCACACGCTTCTTGTTTTGGCCTCCTTGAAAGATATCAGAAATTGGGAAAAAGAACCTTTTAGAGCTCTGGGGTTGGAAAAGATAATTACATTTTCATAGGGGCCCTGGGCTGAAAGCTGATCTTTTCCAGGACTCCTATCTGCCAGGAAAAGAAAATGGAATTTTAAATAAGAAGGGTTTTGTTATTGAGTGCCCTTGGGGCACTAGTTAATTATATTTGGAACTCTTAGAAAGTCCAACCCAAAAGCTTAAGTTGATAGGTGAAGGAGACCATATGAATATAAAGAGCATTTAGGACCCCATTGTAAATCGATGTGGGATAATACTTCAACCCCCCACTCACGTGCAAGCTGCCACTCATGTGCAAGCCGGATTACGAGCGGCACGTGAAATTTTGATTATGCACATTCACATGGAATTTTGCGAAAAGGGATAGGCTTTGATACCATGTTAGAAAGTCCAACCTAAAAACTTAAGCCGATAGGTGGAGGAGACCAAATGAATATAAAGAGCATTTAGGACCCGTTATCAATCGATATGGGATAATACTTCAACAGGAACAATTCAATTTTCAAGACACTAATTGTGCACAACATTGGGACAATTAGTGCATTGGAAACTGTAAAATTTTCTTAATTGGTTTGTTTACTAGTGGCCCTAAGGCACTCATTAACAAAGTCCAAATAAAAACAAGTAAAAGATGACCTTCCACAGTTGACTCAACCATATTATAGAAGCACGACAAATCTTAAAGTCCATTTTTCTTTCGAAGTCTGATTCACGTTTCATTTATGGACACCTTATTAGCAGTTCCGGTTGGCTGGTCATTGTATAATTTGTAAAAGAATCTATCGTGTCTCTAAATGTCCCGTATTATTTTCCTTGTCTTTGTTCTCATGAGTTCTATACATCATTGCTTTGTTTTCCTGCATTTACTGCTCCATTGTGTAGCCTTGGAAGTATTATGTACATGGAATTATTTACGGTATAGTTCTGACTCGGGCTTTAGCTGGATGTTCTGATCTCTACTTTCCTGCCCATGTTTGAACGCCTTCTTATATTTCTTTTGGCTATTGCTCCTTATCGTTTCCTTTGTGAACTTTTTGGTTTGTGATGACGACTTTGTCCTTCATTGCAACAGGACTAGGACATCTGATCGCCAAAAATGAAGATGAATATGTTGAGTTGGCTCTGCAACTGGCATCTGATGTTAATGCTCTCTCAAAATTGAGAATTAGTCTCCGGGAACTGATGTCCAAGTCTCCTGTATGTGATGGACCAAAATTTGTCACCGGTTTGGAATCAACATACAGAAGTATGTGGCGTAGGTACTGTAAAGGTGATGTTCCGGCCTTGAAAAACTTGGAAATGCTTCAACAACATGCAGCTTCCGAACCTTTGAGCGCGCCTGCTGCAAGCATCTCAGTTTCACCGGAGATCCCTCTTGAGTTGGCCAAAGTGAACGGATTTGCACAGGTGGCACCTGTTCTGACTCTATCCTCAAGCGAAGAAAACGGTCAGGTGAATGAAGCCGCCAAAAATGGGAAATGAGGTGGATAAAGATTTTTGTGCTTGTTCTAATTGCTGGGGATTCCGGGTTATAACTTGAAAGGCCACTTTGAACAGATATGCATTCTTAGAAGTGTCGGTGTATTGCTTGTTTGGCTTCCATGGGTTAAGCCTCGCAGTGATCCTTGAGAAGAATTGCATTGTTTGGGAAATCCTGAGATCCATCGAAGTGGATAAAGAGAAGGCGATTCGAGGAGGGCTTATAGGGCCGTCGTAAACTGCAATTTACCCCCCTGAAAGAGATTATAGTGATGGGCTGTAAAGTACGACTTCATCTAGTTATTTTTCAATTTTTCTTCTTTTTCCTTTTTGGGTATGGGATGGTGGGGGGGTTGGTCTTGGTCGTGGTTGTATCCACTGTTACATAGATCTGACGGTAACTTTTCTCGATCTTCTAATAGAAAAGATTAAATGTTTCGCCGATTATAATGATCATTTTGTCGTCGAATGATCTCCTTTGAGGAGCTGCGGTTAGAGCTTAATACTGTCCTCTGTCCGAGTGGATTGCAGTGAATTGTTCTAGTCTGGAAGTTCATGGCCTAGACTGAGTGCATACAAATGTGTGTGTGTACAAGAGACAAGGATCGTATAATGTATCTAATTTAAGGGGTTACCGTAGTCAATTTCATATTTTATACATTTAGTTCGAAAGCCTAGTTGACGAGTGCAACAAGAGTCAAAATTGCTAATTTTTTCATCAGATCAAGTCGTGTTCTGTGCTGTATAGGTAAATGGTCACGGTACCTGTTGTTTGAAAGTTTTTAAGAGCATAAAGTTAGATTCTTACTTATTCTAACATAAGTTCTGAGTTTGCTAATTCTTTCGTCGAAGCAAATTGTTGTCTCATGCCAAGCCGTGCCGCACCATTGCCCGTTGTGCCAAGAATTGTCTGAGTTCAGTGATCAGAGATGAGACAATATGGTTTCATGGGTGCGTGGCGTATGGCAGTCAAGCGAGAGTTGGATCAATGACGGTGGCGGCAGCAGGCCGCCATGTCACTGAAGGAGACCGTATGGGGGCTTTTAAACACTAAGGAGCAGACCAGAAGGGAGAATTGTGGGGACGTGAATTTCTAGACGAGTAAAACAACCGGTAAACACGCAAATCCGAAGTCTTGCTCGAACTAGTATTCACTGCTCTTCTGGCGAAACACCAAAATCTGACATATTCGACCCCAGGAGAAAAATTAACATTCACTGCAAGAGTAGATCCTGTTGAGTTCATATGCCATGAAATTGCCCCAAATTTGTCCCAAGCTGACATAATCCTGACGAAGAGAAGTCACTGGCAATAACATGCATCAGACGATACTAACGCCATTGCACAATATTACAAAAGTTACAAATATGGCTCCATTATCAATGTGCGGTTGAAAGACGGTATCGCAGAACAACCAGTCAGTGAAAATTAACTCCTTCCTCGAAATCAATCTTTTACTGATGTCCGCAGTATCTTCACATCATGGATTGGTCTGCACAAACAGAGTACGTAAAGTCTGATAAACCATCGTCTTTTCGCAACTATCAACCATGTCAAATAGAGAAAATGATGCTAATTGCGGTAGCTATAGAAAATGTTTGTGTACAGCTTTCTAGAAAGTGAAGTTAAGCAGGACCAGATCAATATTCATGCTTTACCTAACAGATTAAGCACAAGCATCAGAGAATCCAATGAGTCTTCTTAATCCCCCTTTCAAAATGAGGATCAATGAGTTCTTTTCAGCATCAATGAAGCCATTGAAAACAAAGCTTTCAGCTTCCCTTTCGAAAGTGTAGTTTAGCAGGACTCGGCCAATATTCATACTTTTCTCAAACCAATTTAAGCACAAGCACTACAGCATGATCCAATAGGATTTGCCATTTTGTTTTATCTTCAATTTCAAAACAAGGACCGATATATTGTTTCCTCACAGATCTAGCATCACCAATTTTCACTTCAGTACATCATCAACAAAATAGAATTCCCTATTGGCTCACAAAATATAACTCCGGAAAGCCCAAATACAGATGTCACCCCTCATTTCGGACAATTTTGGCTCCATGTTCATCATTAAAGAGCCACAAATACCAGAAAATTTCATAACAGAAGTGAAAATACTTTGAGCACAATTTTATTCTATGTCAAGCATGTTTAAGAGATACAAATTCTTGAGAGCCACATATGCATTAACAATTATCAAGGAAAGACGTACCTATCATTGTTGTCTGTTTGAACACTCCCAAGTCTTTTGATAATCTCCATTCCTCTGCATACTCGTCCAAATATTGTGTGTTTTCCTGTATGGAGGTGGGAACATCATTAAATCATCCACTACTCCAATTTGATGATAAAAGATGGAATTGTGATGTGAAAAAGCAGAAAGATAAACGGGAATATTTGTTCCCTCCCATACCGATCTTAATGAAATAAGGTGTCATGTAGGTACGTTTCTCCTCCTATATAGAAGTTCCTAAAGTCTGAAAGAAATTATATATTCAGTTGATCTTAGCTTCTATTGAAGATGATTACCAGATTTATTGTATAGTCAGGTGCATTTGGATGACTAGAGATTTGAACAGCGCAGCTGTAAATGTGGTACATGAACATGGCACCCGCATTAATTAGAGAACCAAACTTCAGAGTCAGATGGTCCTTTTGTCATGAAAATGGGCTCTACAACATATATCTGGCCAATGAAGTTCAATCTCATGACTGAATCAGCATGTTTAATTCTACATATACTGCTAATCCATAGATGTCTGACCAGCTAACCTGTATCACATGAGGGAGTTGACTAGTATCAAAAGGTCTATATCAGTTTTAGGCCATACACTGACAGACTAGGTCTACACTTAGATGAAGATGCATTTTTAAGGGAGCAAAATTCGCTCTTCTACGTCAAACTTGATGTCACTATATAAAAGATGTACATGGGAAATCTTCTTCCGATTCAAAATCCTTTGATCCTCTGAAAAAAAAAAATTTCAAGACTACTTTTGCTGTAAAGAAAAAGGTAAAGTGCTTGGAATACATAACACGAGCTAGAGGGAAGAGGGATGTCCAAAAGGCAAACATAATGACCAAACGCATCACTTGTATTCACAATTGCAACTTGCAAGTGCGCAATTATCTCAGAGGCTCGCAGACACTCGCACTAGAAAAAAGGATCTACCAATCACATGATTAAGAAAAAAAACCATGAATAGAGACAGCAATAACGACTTTATTAAAGACAATATCATACCATCAAGTGAAGGGCATGGTGCCAAAGTAATAAAGAACTGGCTACCATTGGTGTTTGGTCCAGCATTTGCCATGGACAGGATACCAGCACCCGTGTGCTTCAATTCTGGTTTTATCTCATCCTCAAACTTTTTACTGCAACACGATACACACCATTATACAGTGAGGGTCCTTTAACAACCAAACAAGGAGCTGAACAGTACTCTTGAAGGTCCCAATTCTTTGCCGGTGCGCACCCAAACAATCAAGTACTATAAAGGAGCTTAAGAAACACACTCTTCTCATTGCTCTCATTGTACTGATACTCAAGAAGTGAAAATCCACAGCTCAGGAAAAGAAGCACTCGCGACCCGCACGATCGTTAAGCACAATAATTCTCAAACAAGAAAGGAAGGTCGCCTTTACCCATAAATTGATTCTCCACCCCTTCCCGTCCCGGTGGGATCCCCACCTTGCACGATGAAGTCCTTATTTCAAGATTACACAGAAAAACAAACAGTTAGAAAAAAGCGATCATACGAATGCACTGTCGTGATTTCTGGGTGCGAATTTTTCGTAACCAACGATAAATTTCAGGGGAAAGAAACGAGTACGCAGAAAGAACGAGAGCGACTACCTTGATGATGCGGTGAAACTTCACATTATCATAGTAACCTCTCCGAGAGAGCTCGATGAAGTTCCTGCTAGTTCTCGGCGCATGCTTGAAGTATAGCTATAAGACGATTTGACCCAAAAGAAAAAACGAAAACTTTCAACGACTCGATGCATCGCAGAAGAAGAAGAAGAAGAAGCAGGAGAAGAAGGAAGGAAGGAGGGGGGAGGATTTGCCTCGATAGTGAAAGAACCCATGGAGGTCTCGAGAGTGACCTCGGGAGGACCTCCTTCCGCGCTTGCCCACATCTTCTGCGCACGAAGCAAGCACGAGGCCTCGCCGAGAGGAGCTCGAGAGGTTCTCGCTGCAGAGAAATGGGGAGCCGACCTCCAAATGCTCGACGAAATGCGAGCTCGGCAACTGGGGAAACTCGCGTGGGTTCTTCAAGGGGTTTTGAATCTTTGATCTCGAGATAGAGAGAGCGAGAGAGAGAGAGAGAACTGGGCCTACAAAATACGTGGCCCATAGACATTGCCTGATTGGCCCACTAGCTCTTTCCTGAACTCTCTTGATTAATTCGTCGTGGGAGCTCCATGAATTTTGACCTAACGTGTAATATAGTCCCTAGACTTTTAATTTGTTTAATGTAGCAGCAGCTGAATTTTATCCCGATATATAACGTGGTCCAAAAAATTTTAATTTGTTTAATGTGATCTGTGAACTTTTTGATAAGTGTCCAAACTAGTCTTTAGACTATATGGTCCCTGAACTTTAAATTTGTTCATTGTGGTTCATGAACTTTAGCCAAATGTATGATATTTCTGAATTTTTAATTTGTTCAATGTAGTCCCTGGACTATTGGCAAATGTTCAATTTAGTCATTCGACTGTATGAAAATGTTCAAAGTTGTCATTCCAGGGACCGAGTTAAACATTTGCCAAAAGTATATAAACCACATTGAGTAAATTAAAAGTTCAAGGACTACATTATACATTGGCCTAAAGTTCAGGGATCACATTGAATAAATTTAAAGTTTAGGGACCATATATTATACTAGGTCAAAGTCTAGGAATTATTTGATCATTATACCTTAATTTAAGTTCAGATAGTATTTTTATATAGTCCGACTAGTTATTGAATAAATTAAAAGTTCGAAAATGATAATGCGCATTAGGCTAAAATTTAAGAATAATATTAAATAAATTAAAAACTCAGAAATCACGTTGCACGTTGAATCAAAGTTCAAGCACCGTTTGTGTTATTTTCCCAATTTTTGCCGCAAACTAGCTACTAGCTTCTATGCAGCTGGTGAATGAGCACGAAGACGATGGGAATTTCTTCTTGGATGGGTCTCCCATAGGCAGGGATCTCCCGGAAGACGATGCAGTGACGGAACATCTCGCCGGAAACTAAGAAGGCGAGAAGCTGTGCGAATCGCCGTCGCGGCCACAGAAGCGCAAGCTCGTCGTCCTCGGCGGCGCGGCTGCGATGAGGCCGATAAGGCTTCCCGAGCCGCCGCCGCCGCCGCCCGGATTCAGTGGCGTGCCGGACATCCTCGACGGCGCTATCAGGCGAGCGCTCGTCGTCGGCAACGGCTTCGCCGGCGCCGAGAACCAGTGCATCGGTTTGGTTCGCGCGCTCGGCCTCGCCGATCGCCACTCCGTACAAGTGAGCGACTGGCATTACCGAAACTCGATTCTCTGAGTTTACGCTTCCTTTTCCGGCGGCCCCCCTCTGTAGATTGTCATGCTTCTATCGATATCTGTTGATATGCGTGTGTCTGTGTTCGTGGTATTAAGTCGAAAATCAGTGTTTTGGATGGAACGAGGTAGTCTGTGTGTTGCGTTTTAAGGTTTGTGCAGAAATAGGATTGCGAGGGATTGTTTTGTCTCTCGACAGTTGGGACAACTGCCTTGCACACATGTTTACGTGAATGGCTTTCAACTTTCGTCCAGTCCTAGTTTGTCATTATTGCATATCAACTGGGTAGATGGTAGTAGTCATTTGCTATATGAGAAACTGAAATTTCTCGCGGACAGCCCACAAATTCATATGCTGAGTGTGATTTGACTAGCATTAGACCGATAATCTAGACGTCCCTAGTGGCGCTGGTTGTTCATCGGTTCAAAACAAATTAATCTGCATTGAATTTGCTAAACCAGAAGAGTTTATTTGTTTCCTGTGAGGATTCTTATTTCAGAAGAGTGGTTATCATACAATCAGCAATTGATGAATCCTATTTTTGATTTCTCTGCGCAAGCATGCTTTCTATCCCATCTAGATGGTGGGATGCACACTCAAGTACATATGTTGGTCTGGTCCCTTTATGGTTAATTCCTGGATTCATTGCCTTTCTGATTGTCGACTAACTTCCTTCTAATATTACGCACTTCGTTACTTGTACAGCGTGTTACTAGGCCTAGAGGAGGGATTAATGAATGGCTTCATTGGATTCCGGTTTCCCTCCATAAAAAAATTAATTATGTTGTGAAAAGAGTTTGGGGTGATTCAAGGTTTCGAACGACGTTTGAAAGCAATAAAGTCATGCCTCTTTCAGCTGAAAAAAGTGGTAGGGGGCAGTTTTAGAGTGGTTTCCCTTCAATGTTTCTAGTCAATAACAAACTTTAGTCATGTAGTGAACTTATTAGTGTGGTGACCTGTTCTTATGTTGGAATTCTATCACTGTTAGCGCTTGTAGGGGAAATTAATGTCTCCGTATGCCTGAATAACTTTGATTAAATGGCTTTTTGCAGGATTAATGAATGTTTTGGAAACTGATCCAAAACAGATCGCAGTAATGGCTCGTGAATCATTTGAAAAGTATGATTTTTGATCTTGTTCCTATTCTTCCTGTCATGCTTCTTTTCAATGGAAAACTATATAAATTTTCACATTGAATTGTAGTCATGCTCAGAAATGTCCCATTTGAATCCGGGATACAGAAGATGCAATTGCGAATTGCCTACGTAAAAAAATTTCCAACATGGTGAACATCTTTAAGTTCGGTTTATAGGTTCTAGATGTCTTAGAATAGTCTAATTATCAGCATGTAATGGTCATATCCAGCATTTGAATTTGTGAAATATGGATTTGCTTCTGTCCTTCAAAGTATCTGCTAAACCCAAACAACTATCTACACTTGTCATAGGGAGGGCCCACTGTTGGTGATCGCATCTGGGCGGGACACTATTCCTGTTGCGAGCACAATAAGAAGGTTGGCTCCGGAGAACGTTTTTGTTATTCAGGTGAGTATGAATACGCTTCCCTTTTAAGCTTCTTGTCACATGCTTTGCTGATAAATAACCAGTTCCTCAGCCTTCTTTTATTTTTCTTTTATCACCTTCAATGGTTGGTTTTTAACCTTGCCATCGTTTTTCATTATGTCTACATTTTTAAAAATTGAAAAAGATGAATTTAAAGGAGAGAAAAGGAGAGGAAACGGGAAAAGAAGAAATAAATAAGCAAGAACTTTAGCTGGGAAAATATGTGGCCATGAAATAGGGATATGACAACCTAGATTATTTACTTGCTCTCTCCCTTACCAATCCTTCAAGAAGTTTCTGTATATCTAATCACAGGAGAGTCTCTCAAGAAATTAGCCTATTTTTTGTGCTGTTTGTGTAACGAGTGCTACATGTAACTTGGTAATATGGGTGCTCAAATGTATTAGTTCTGCTTCCTTCTGGCAAGCTTTATGTCCCTTCCAAAAGCTAGTTCTTCTGTTCACATTATCCAGTTGGTCTTTTACATATTGATACTTCTTATGTGTCTGTCATCAATTGGAAGGTAGTTATCATGCATCTACAATTTTTATCAGCATTCAATTTAATTCGTCTGATAATTCATGTCATCTCCCAGATACAACATCCAAGATCCCGTGTAGATAGGTTTGATTTGGTGATTACTCCTCGTCATGATTATTATCCACAGACAGCTCACGCGCGAGAGCAAATTCCTTGGTTTCTTCGAAGGTGGATAACACCACGTGATCATCCCGATAGTCATGTGGTATGCCCTGCAGATGGCAAATACACTCCATTGTTGGGAATCACCAATGTACAATTAAGTTATTAGTTAGTTATTTTTGTTACAAAAGAATCTTACAGGTCTAGAATTTTCAATTTAGATTCTCACAGTGGGTGCCCTTCATCAAGCTGATTCTGCCACTCTGAGAAGTGCTGCCTTCACCTGGCATGATGAGTTGGCATATCTTCCAAAGCCCTTGCTTGTGGTCAATGTTGGTGGTCCCACAAGTAATTCACTTTTTCCTTATTCATTACATATGTTCTAGCTTGATCTTGCTAAATTTATCCAGCATATTTTTGTCAGACAAATTTAGTGAATCTTATGGTCAAAACTAAACAGTCTTAGCTGATATAACCGACTAAGAACATTTTGTCTCGCGATGACAAGAGAGACGGGTTTTGATACATTAGTCTTCATCCTGTAGGAGCTGATTAATATCTTTGCATTTGCACTCTAGTCTGTTATCTAGTCGTCATATTCTGGATGTTTGTTTGCTTACATCAGTAGCACCCAGGGCACTGTTTTATCATCATCATATGAGTTGGCTAATTGATTTTAAAAAATACATGTGGAACTATTGTTTACTATGATCAGTTCATAGAAGAATCTCACAGCTTTTGTCTATGTTCTGATCACAGGCAATTGTCCATATGGTGCTGATCTTGCAAAGGAGTTGATAATTAAGCTGCAGAATGTTCTGTGGAGCTGTGGAAGTCTCAGAATATCTTTCTCTAGGAGGACTCCTGTGAAGGTATGTATGCATTGTTCAATTCTTATAATTCTTGATGAAGTAAGCGATAAACTGTTTTTTTTTTTTTTGTTGGTCCTGGAGCCATAAACTATTTACTTCTCTGCCTTTCTATCTGCAGGTGTCTGAAATGTTTGTTAGAGAATTCAGGGCTAATTCTAAAGTTCACATTTGGGATGGTGAAGGTAGTTATATAACTGATCTTTGAAGGCTTTTCCATTATGGAAAACACAGTAAAATCATCATGTTTTGTGATAATGGACTGGAATAATTTCTGGTGTGTTTCTAGGTTCAAACCCACACATGGGACATTTAGCTTGGGCTGATGCTTTTGTTGTAACAGCTGATTCTGTGAGCATGTTGAGTGAGGTCTGCAGTACAGGGTATGCATGAAACTTCAAACAATGAGAACCATCCCTAAATTTTAAATATCTACGTTTGTTTGGCCCAATAATTTGAAATTTCCACAAACTAAAGACAGCAATTATCTCTCATGATGCAGGAAGCCAGTTTATGTTGCTGGAGCTGAACGGTGTAAGTGGAAGTTTGCCGACTTCCAGAATTCCTTGCAGGAACGAGGAGCAGTTCGAGCATTCACTGGAAAAGAAGATGTAGGTTACTCACTCTTATTTAAATTCTGTTATTTTTTTCTTTCAGAAGTAAGGGTAGAATCGAGTGCCGGTCAAGATGAAGCAGTGTCTAGCTCGAGCTTGATTCGATTCACAAACTCAATGTGTTCAAAATTTGATTTGACATTGGTCAAGTACTAATCTGAGCTTGAGCTAGACTTGAAAAGGTAGTTGAGATACTCGAGCGTTACTCGGCTTAGCTTTACTGTTATTGAAATTTTTTTATTGTATAATTAATCAGATAGGTTAGTGAAATGAAAATACAAGGTGTAAATTGTATTTGGAATCAATGTGTAATGAGAAGTGATGCAATAACATAGAATGCTGCTATGATATAGCCGAATGCAAATCATCAAAGAAAGTACCTTAACGTATCTGTAGCTCAAATATGTGAACTTCAAAATAAACTGTAAAAATTACAAGATCAGAGAATATCATCAAGCCCTAACTTCATATAACCCCAACTCAATGAAGATGTGCTTTAGAGGCACAAAGGAACACCATCTTTCTCAATGAGGAAGCCAACTTGGCGATCAGTTAATTTCCCCATCAATCTATCACTAATTGGAAACTGAAAAAAAAAAGGTCACAGGGAGTCGCTTAAGAAAATTGGCACACAATGGAAACAGTTCACAACTATGAGAAAATGAAACTTGCAAATGGTAGCTGGGGATGCACATTCCTGGGAAATGATGCAACAAACTGAAGAATATTTGTCAATGACTCGATGATAGAAGCAAAGGAGCAGGAACAATGAAAAATGGAGAAAACCTAAGCAATAAGGGGAAAAGAGTCGTGACCAAGAGGAGAGAAAGAAACGGAGACAAGTTATTCTCGGTTGAGAAGATAGTTCTACGTTTCTCGGAAAGTGAAAAAGCGTGAGGGTTAGAGTTTTTAATGATTGCTAAAAGCATAATACACCACACGAGAAGAGCAGTATACTTTCTAAAAACTTAAACAGCTGCTTCTTAGACGAATTTTTTTTTTTTGAAAAAGCTACTACTCAATTAGGCTTGTGATACTGTAATGAAGAGTTTGTGACCTTAAGCTTAACTGGAAAGGCCATTATCTACTTCAGCTTAAGAAAAGTTGAATCAAGTTTGAGTAGATATTGAGCCTATCCCAAGTAAGTTGACTCTGTCAGACCATTCCGAGGAACAAAGGCTTTTGATGCACAACTAATGAGAAAACCACTTCGTATTATGCATTTGCGTTTGTGAGCTTAGGCCATGGTTTCTTTTATGTGAAAGTTTGTTAACCTGCCGCAGCCTTTGCTCAACTCAGTTGGACATATTAATAGAGGTTTATGCTCACTTATATATTTGGGTTTGGATGTACAGATATCTGAGACCTGGAGCTATCCTCCACTTAATGACATTGCCGAGTCTGCTACTCAGGTGCATGAAGCACTTGCCAAGCGTGGATGGAGGATATGCACGTGACGGGCCTTCTGTTGTTTAGCCAATGTGGCCTCGTCACTCGCTTTGCTCTGGCACGTTGAGCAAGTGTGATTGGGTTGGCTAGTACCCACTTGGTAACCTCGGTGAAAGTACGTGAAGATAGCTCCTGTTTGCTAATGTTTCAAGGAGCCCATTCTTGTTCTGTGGCTATCCATTTCTGCGGAGCACAACTTTAGGTAGTGCATTTTTGAAGAAAGAATAGCTAGTTGGCAAGTAATCCAGCGTACAAGATACAGGACGTCGCTATGTTTTTTTCTTTTTTCTTTCGTACCTTTTACCTGATCTTCCTGCCTCATTGTAAGTTTATTTGTACCGACAAGGAAAGTGGTTTCCTGTTACATTATGGTTTTCCCCAACGATATGAGCAATACGTATGAGTTGCACGCTTGTTCGTCCCATACGTGAGCCAATTCTGATAGCAAAAGCAGCATCTATGGATTCATCCTACAGTTCCTCTTCATAAGTTCGACCGGTACTTATTTATTTGGTCAGTATCGATGGGAACTAAAACATCGTGGCTGACGAAGTTCTGGAACTTTTTCTCTGGAGCTGACAACAGAAGCTCCCAATCACAAATGGGAATTACAGCTTTGGACTTTCTTTCGTATTACCATCGATTGGTGATGCGTGGGTGTGGCGTTAATCTGCATTTGGTTTGTTGGGTTAGGCAAGTCCTCCTGTCACTTCAGTTGTATGATTAAAAGAGCAAACTTTGTTTATGATCAGATTATAACTTCATTATTACTCGCTAATCCCCAGCCATGAGAAAGCCAAGGCACGTGAAGTTTCATTTCCTTCCACTTTTAGTTGATGACAAAAGGAGCACTTCGTTTTTCTATTCTTTATAACCTACGAATGGCAATGAAAAGTTTATGGGGAAATTGTCAAATCAGTCCTAAACCTATTGTACGGCGGTCAATTCAGTCTTAAACATTTTAATTTTGCCAATTCAGTCCTAAACCTTTCTAATTCTTGCCAATTCAGTCCTTCCGGCCAATTTTGGCCGGCCGGCGCCGGCCGTTCGGCCAAGGCTGACGTGGCAATTTATTATTATTATTATTTAATTTTTTAGTCTTTTTAAATCTTTTTTTTTCTTTTTTTTCTGATTTCTTCCTTTGGCCAGTCCGGCGACCGGAGGCCGGCCAGAGGGGAGGGCCGGCGAGGTCGACTTAGCCGGCCTCGCCGCTGCTAAGGCGAGGCCGACCTCACAGTCGCGACCCAGGCGACGGCGAGGCCGACCTCGCCGACGCCTGGGTCGCGACGGCGAGGCGAGGCCCAGCAGGCGACGGCGAGGTTGGCCTCGCCTCAGCAACGGCGAGGCCGGCGAGGTTGACCTCGCCGGCCCTCCCCTCTGGCCGGCCGCCGGTTGCCGGACCGGCCAGAGGAAGAAATCAGAAAAAAAAGATTAAAAAATTAAAAAAAAAATAAAAAATTGCCACGTCAGCATTGGCCGGACGGCCGGCGCCGGCCGGTGGCCACGTCAGCGCCGGCCGGCCAAAATTGGCCGGAAGAACTGAATTGACAAGAATTAGAAAGGTTTAGGACTGAATTGGCAAAATTAAAAGGTTTAGGACTGAATTGGCCGCCGTACAATAGGTTTAAGACTGATTTGACAATTTTCCCAAAAGTTTATAGTACAGAGGATTGCCAACAAGACATTGATCTTTATGAAGTAGGAGAAACTGCTCCATTAATGATCTGTCATGTCACAGACGTCTTCTTTTGGGAACATTAGAATGAGAAATAAAGCTACAACGTTGGAGAAGTTGGCAACAACTCCTCTATCTCTCTTGCTTCTATCAGAAGTCCTATTTGCTCGCATCCCTTCTTTATAAAAAGACTTGCCCATCGAGCTCTTCAAGTCACAAGCTTCAAGCCTCTTCTCTAAGCTCATTGAACCTTCTGTTAGCTGATACCGAAAAGAATGAACAGTGGCGACTCAACCACCATTGATGTTCCCGACTCAGCTGCCGGAGGCAGCGCTGCTGCTAAAGGGAAAGCAGTATCGGTCGTGGCAGCTCCACCGCCCCGGCCCGGAGGAATGAAGAAAGGGGTGGCCATATTCGACTTCATACTGAGGTTGTGCGCGATTGTGACTGCGCTGGCCGCTGCCGCCGCCATGGGAACAAGTGACGAGACTCTTCCCTTCTTCACTCAGTTCTTCCAGTTCCAAGCTAGCTACGATGACCTCCCGACTTTTGAGTATGTTGCCCTCAGCTTAGGGATTGCTTGCCCATCTTATCCTTCATCCGAATGCTGTCTATTCGGTCGAGAAACCCATGTCTTATTATATCAATCATTTCAGACATGAGAAGTGTTCACTCCTTCAAATCTAATGTTACTAAGCTTCTCTCGTTAGGACAAGAGATCTTTTACCTTCACCTTATTTTCCCTTTGCTATAAAGAAATCACACCTAACTATAACATAAAGCATCTTGATCATGTGAACTGAAAAACAGACATGAACAATGTATATATGCAGGTTCTTTGTGATCGCAATGGCACTAGTCGGGGGCTACCTAGTCCTCTCGCTTCCCTTCTCCATCGTATGCATCGTCCGACCCCACGCCGTTGGTCTCAGATTACTCCTACTCATTTTGGACACTGTGAGCACTCTCTCCATCACTAATTGATTAATATCAATCTGCATTCACTTGTAAAGAACTATTCCCTTCTCATCATATGCTCCCACGTTGCAATGCTTATTCCTGTCCTTATTTTCCCCTTGCGTAGATGGCGCTCACACTGACCACAGCAGCCGGGGCCGCGGCTGCAGCCATAGTGTACTTGGCCCACAACGGCAATCCGAACACGAATTGGCTTGCCATATGCGGGCAGTTTGGCGACTTCTGCCAGAAAGTGAGCGGGGCCGTGGTGGCGTCGCTCATCACGGTAGTTGTCTTCGTGGTGCTTGTGGTCCTCTCCGCCATGGCTCTTCGTAGGATCTGAGATGATCCCAGCTGACCGATGGATACGGAGGAGTATCAAGACAATTTCATTACGTGTGTTTCATGATGTTGTTGGTGTGTGTGTGGTGGTGCCTGTGTTGACAAAATGTCATTCCAACGAGGGGTCATATCAATTCTTGTATAGGCATTACTTTGATGGAAAAAAAATCGTTCCTTTCTCTGCTCTCACAAGTCGCAATCAACTTCATTTACTTGATGCTAAACAAAATGCAGCTCAACGAGCATGAAAAAGCCATGCAAAAAGCACTCTTTTTACCGGATTTTCACAAAAAAATTAAAGGGATATAAGTACATTAGAAGATCTAAAACTTGTCACAGAAGTGCAATGAACCAAAACGATATCGTTTTGGCCTTGTTCTTCATGTTTTAGCCGTGTCAGCGCCACGTAGGAGAGAGAAAATAAAATAAAAAGTCACGTCAGCATTTTCCGTTAGCCAAATTGAACGAAGTTAACGGAAGGATTTGATTGTATCAATTTGATAATTTTTATGACACTTTTTTAAAATTTTAGGATTTAATTGCACTTTCATTACAAGTTTTAGGACCTTCAATCCAAAAAATAAAGGGATAATGACACAAACAATCCCTGAATTTTGGGTCAATGTGCAATTTGATCCCTGAACTTTTAATTTATTCAATATAGTCCCTGAACTTTAACCCAATGTTCAATATGGTCCCTGAACTTTCAATTTGTTCAACTTGGTCCCTAAATTTTTAGTAAATATTCAATTTAGTCCCTGAACTATATGAAAATATACAATATAGTTCATGAACTTGAATTAATGGAAGGACTACATTGAACATTTTTATAAAGTTCAGGGACTATATTGAACATGTACCAAAAGTTCAGGGACCACATTGAACAAATTGAAAGTTCAGGGACCATATTGAACATTGGGTTAAAGTTCAGGGACTACATTGAACAAATTAAAAGTTCAGGGATCAAATTGCACATTAAGTCAAAATTCATGGACTGTTTGTGTCATTTTCCCAAAAATAAAAGTAAGTTTTAAACTAGGGAAAAGTCCACTTTTGGCCCATGAACTTGCACATTTTTCCAATCAAATCCCTAAATTTACACAATTTTTCTAATTAAATCCCTCTGACTCTGAACTGGCTAATTTGGGTTGGCTTGGAAAGCTCAGAGTGGAGTGTTTGTGTTAAAATGTCATCATTTCAAGTTGTCAGTCGCACGCATCAGCTGATAATCGAAAGTAAAAAAAAAAAGTTTTTTCATGCCATAGTCTCGTCAGTATCAATGGACAAGTTAGCTCCAAATAAGTGAATTTGTAATTGGAGGAGGGACTTGATGAGATAAGTTATCTTAGTTGAAGGACTTGATTGAAAAAATTCAAGTACTTGATTGAAAATACCGCGCAAGTTCAGGGATCAAATAACACTTATACCTTTTAACTATTCTCAATACAGCAAAAGATGAAACTATGCTTTTTCCTAAAGATCCACATGGATTTATAACCTCTATATAACAATTTTTCAAGGAATACCGTCGGAAATAGTCCTTATACTATTGTTCAATAGTTAATTTAGTTCAAGAAAACTTATTTAGTTCAATTTTATTCTTTTACTTTTGTAAGCGAGCGCAATTTGGTCCTTCTGTCAATTTGATCACGTCGCATGAGTCATTACGATGTTGTCTAATGCTTAATCCAGCTTCATTTATGTTTTGATAAAATAGGATAGCCAATTTCTATCAAATCACATATTTGAAGGATCGCTATCAAATTGTTAATCTGTTTCTTTTTTTTTTTTTCCCAATAAAGTGAATTACAAATTGATGACCGAGAATTAAAGGGGCATTCATGAGATCACTCTCTTATCTGATCGCTAGCCCTAAACCACCTGTAAAATCAAACACCCCAACACCAGTTACTGCCCTTCCCCCGCCACCGGCCACCGTCCTTATTGCCTCAAACCACCTTGCCGATGCCGATCGCGCTTGTCTTTGCCATCCTGCCCGGATTTGGTGGCTATGGCGACCGCAGGGAGGGAGAGAGAGAGAGTTGCGAACAAAGAGAAGACCACGGGACTTTTTGAAAGGGAAAATTGTCAAATCAGTCCTAAACCTATTGTACGGCGGCCAATTCAGTCCTAAACCTTTTAATTTTGCCAATTCAGTCCTAAACCTTTCTAATTCTTGCCAATTCAGTCCTTCCGCCCAATTTTGGCCTGCCGTAGTGACGTGGCCGTGGCCGGATGACTGCTAACTAGGCTGTCCAGCCAACTACGACGTGGCAATTTTTTATTATTTTTTAATCTTTTTTTTTTTTTTTTCGATTTCTTCCTCGGCCGGTCCGTGACCGGCGGCCGTAAAGGGAGGGCGGCGAGGTCGGCCTCGCGCTTCGGGCCTCGCCTCGCCTCGCCGTCGCCTGGTTCGCGCCGGCGAGGTCGAGCCTCGCCCGGATCACGGGTGAGGCTCGACCTCGCGATCGCGACCCGGGCGTCGTCAGTCAGGTCGGCCCAGCCTTCTTCTTGGGCCTTGCCTCGCCCGGCGGCGGCGAGGCCGACCTCGCCGTCGCTGGGTCGCCACGGCGAGGTCGGCCTCGCCTCGGCGGCGGCGAGGTCGACCTCACCGGCCCTCCCCTCTGGCCGGTCGCTGGTCGCCGGACCGGCCAAAGGAAGAAATCAGAAAAAAAAAGTTTAAAAAAGATTAAAAAATTAAATAATAATAATAAAAAATTGCCACGTCAGCGTTGGCCGGACGGCCGGCGGCCACGTCAGTGCCGGCCGGCCAAAATTGGCCGGAAGGACTGAATTGGCAAAAATTAGAAAGGTTTAGGACTGAATTGGCAAAATTAAAAGGTTTAGGACTGAATTGGCCGCCGTACAATAGGTTTAGGAATGATTTGACAATTTCCCCCTTTTTTTTAAAGTAAAGGGATGCTTTTGAAAAAATAAAAAAATAAAGGGGCAATTATAAAATAGGAGAAAATGGAGGGACTAATCCTAACATTACATCATTATAACGAAAAAAAAACTTGCACAAAAAATTGGCAAAGAACCAAATGTAAGAGTCACTATGATCAACTAACAGCAAGTTAACTGCTTTATTTACCACATTAGCAAGGTTGAGAACTTTGATGAAAGGATCAGAAGGCACTCACTTAGTAGAAAGATGAAATTGATCAAAATAGAAGTTTAAAACTAAACTGAATAGGCCAAATGACGAAATAATACCCAATATTTTTAAGGATCTAAAACTTTATCCCCACACTTTAATCTTATTAGAAAAGCACCCAATCTTATAAATTTGTTTCAAATCTATCCCAAACCTTGAAAACCATTTGTGAGTGGCAATATTCACATAGATACCTTACCAATTTGAAATTTTCCCCTTCTTTTTTTGTTGTTGTTGTTGTTGTCACAAATAGCTTTTCTCATTCATTTAGATAAACAAGGACACATGAGCAAAGCAAGTCCTACAGGGCTTGAGGTGGATAAATAATCCAATTTCTCCATAGACTTTTCTTCTTTTGGGCTTTTGCAACTCGGTCCGCAACTTCATTGGAATCCTTAAAGCAATGGGCCAATTGGAGATCTGAAAAGCACATTAGCATATCACTTCCCTCATTGATAAGAGCTCTAACCTCCCACTTCGATTGAGTTGTGCCTCAGTTCACGACAATCAGATTCCAAAATTAGGCTTTCGCCACTTCGTGCAAGAAGAAATTGTAGGATTTCAACCAATGGCAATGACTCCACATGCGCAGCCGAGGCGACACGCATAGATCCGACGAATCCATCAGCGAGGCGGCCGGTGTACTCTCTACAAACACACGCAATTGCTCCTACGGATGTTTCTTCAACAAAAGACCTATCGATGTTCACTTGGAGCGTATCTGAGTTCGAGGGTTTACTCTTCTTCAAGTTTAATGACTGCATTGAATAAACTAAAAGTTTAGAGATGATATTGCGCATTAAGCTAAGATTCAGGAATCACATTGAATAAATTAATAATTCAAAGACCACGATGCACATTTGACTAAAGTTTATGAATTATTTGTGTCATTTTTTTTCCTAAAATGCAAAATGAATCGGAAGCTCGATTCGGCTTTCTTGTTCTTGTTATAAAACCTTGGTGAAGAACGAAACCGATTTGATCCCCCATATACCCACGCCATCATCTTCTTCTTCTTCTTCTACCCTAAACCTCTCTCTCTCTCTCTCGCATGGCAGCTCTCATTAGAAACCTTCGGTCCGGGATTAGTCTATCCAACCCTTCACTCGTTCCCCCACCCTTAGTCACAAGTTGCAGAGGAATCGTTTCGAAGCTTTTCGTTGGAGGTACCCTTTTACGTGCTCGGTCCGTTCGTTAACGACTCGAGCGAAAAATGTTTCCTTTCGCTGGTTTGTGTACGTGTGTCGGTGTATATGCTGTTGGTATCACGCGGGCAACGTGTTTGACGGAATGTCTGTTTGAAGAAGTTTGATGTCTTGACATCCTGTAGTTTATCGTACAGTGCCATCGTGTGTTTGAAGTAATGTTCATTTGATTTTTTCTTGAAAGTCTTGTTTTGGGGAACTGGAGGGTCGAAATTCACAGTAGGTGACGGTTCTTGATTGCTCTTCTTCTTACCACATCGCGTCCATTACTTAGAATGTTGCATGACCTATTGAGCGCTGCTCTGCAAGGGGATTCCATACTTAAAGTTGTTGTGGTTTATCACACTTAAGGTGATACTTTTTCCTAATACCGATCGAAGAACTAATGAAAAACTAGAGCAAGAAGATCTTATATATTTTCGGCAGTTTGTTAGTTTGGTGGCAGAAAGTGACTTCTAAAGGTTCCTAAGCTCGAGCAATGAAGGCCCTTTGGGCCGAGTCTTAGATTTAGAGCTGATTATGCCTTTGACAGTATAATGAAATTGCTGGTGAGAAAATGTAGTGCTTATATTAAGCTAACTTTGTTGCTGCCCAATAAGGAAACGCTGTGACATTTGGCCGGTTCATTACTAATTTGAGATTTGCAAGCGAGGGGTTATTTTTTGGCCCTCTTATGTAAAGTATAGACACGCATTAGTGGCCTTTCATTCAATAGGAGACAAGTTGGTAAAGGCTTGACATATGGGTCTGGGAAGATACAAACTCATACACCCAACGATTGATAGTGAGCGGTGATTATGTACAGCGAATTGTATCCTCTCACAATTTAACGATCCTCATCATCAGATTCAGTGTTCATGTTTGTTTTGATTCAGCAAAAATCGGCGCTGTCAGTAATCAGCCAAAACCAGCTGTTTATCTCGTTTGAAGCGGGCCTGCTTTTTTGAGCTAGTTTCTCACTGTGTCTCAGGATTGTCATTTTACACCACAGACAAAATATTGGCCGAGTCATTTTCTCAGTTTGGTCAAGTTGTTGAAGGTACCTTAAGTCCATCTCTTATGCACAATTTGATCTGGTTTTACTTGTTTGTTTTGTATATTCAGTAAATTAAACCTCTTATTTCTTTCTATCCAGCTAAGGTTGTGATGGATAGAGTCTCGGATAGATCGAAAGGATTTGGATTTGTAACTTTTGCATCCGAAGACGAGGCTTATAGAGCGGTGACAGAGATGAACGGAAAGGTAAATTGTTCGCCCTCTAATTCTTGAGCAACACTATCTAATTAATTGATATTTTATGAAGGCCTTCTAATTCTCACAGACCTTCTCATTCTCACAGACACTGAATGGGCGAATCGTTTTTGTGGACTATGCAAAGCCTCGGTTAGGCGAAAAACTTGGAATGCCAATTGCAAGAGGACCCCCTGAACCGAAAGTTGATGATAATTGAATACTCTTGCGAAGATACAGATATAGTGAAACTCACATTGCAGGAAGTATTAATTCAAGCACAAAGTGAATGGTACACCCATGTGCATCACTCAGACAGCTCCCGACCGTACCAATGAAAAACACAGAAAAGAAGAAGATAGCTTGACTTTTTAGAATGAAGAGAACAAGGAACGGGTATTCTCATGTGGCACTTAATGTAGATCTATCGCTTTGCAGATTTTATCATAGTCTACTGTTGTAAGAATGATCTGTTGTGATCTAAAAAGTATGCTATTGGGCAGTTGATCCATGATGAGAATGACAAATAGCTACGTCGTTCTCTGTCTATGTTTTCCTCAAGCGGCGTAAGCATTGAAACAACACGATGATGTTGGAGGCTCTCAATTACTGCTCATCAGCATGGAGCTTTTCGTAACAGTATCTATCGTCGTATTCTGTTACTTATAACTATGTCCGCGGGTAGCGTGGTTGACGCGTAATGGGTTTGCATCTGCTCGGCATGCGTTTTAGGGAGTGTATGGTAAGAGAAAGGTTGCTCCTGCTAGCATGGGAGGGTCACTCTGCCTTGTACTCCCGTGTCTGCAACTCCTGTGTAGTGTTATGCCGAGGTGGTGGGTCGGGTAAAGAGCTGCGTGCTACACCTTGGCTACTTGGATTTTTGACATGACCCTGCAAGCAATTGGCTCAATTTTGCGTCTTTCTCCGGTGGGGCGGTTCTCCCTCGTGGTATCTCCGTTTTACTGTCAATCATGGTTGGATCATTCACATTCCCAGGATTCATTATTCTTTAGGGAAAATATCAACTACTATTTAACTTTTATACCATGCATCAATTTGCATTCCTACTTTTGAAAAAACTACATTTCGCATTTTGTGTTTTGTTACTGGATTTCAACTCGCATCTCCCACCCCTGATTCTAATCCACTTATTTACCAAACTTTTCCCACCCTCTCAGCCTCTGCCGCCCGACTCAGCCATCCTCGCCGGTTCTTTCCCAATTCGAGCTGTCATCTCCGGTGGTCCGTCCTCGCACAACAGCCTCTAGGCCCCATTGTTCATTGCATCCTAACTCCCCTTCTCCTCTTCATGCTTGGCACCCCCGCTCTGAGGCCATCGCGACAACTGCAGGCCTTAGATTGGAGGTAAGTGACGGTCCGACCTACATGACAGCTCAGAATGAGGTCGGGTCTGACCTGGATCTAGGCGTGGAGCTCGACGTTGCAGCCACGGGGAGCTCCAAACAAAGCTCGCCATGGTCGCCTCACTATGCTCCGTACGAAGCTTGCCAACCATGGCCAAACTTCATGGCTGAGCTCTTTTAAAGCTTGCACATGAGAGGGAGGGGGAGGATCGTGGTGTTTGGCGTGGTATTGGTTGGCAAAGATGAACATGACGACGGATTTTGGGTGTGGGTATCGTTTTTTTATTTGAAATAGGGGCAAATGAGTTTTTAAGCTTTGAATTTTATCGGGAGGTGCAAATTGCACCTTTTGAAAAGTGAGGATGCAAATTGATATAAGCGAGAAAAGTCAAGTTGGTTTCTAAAATTTTCCTTTCTTTTTTTTGGTGGCAATCAAGCAACCAAGTTGGTTTGTCTTGCATAAATCATCAAATGAGCAAACCAATGACCAAGAAACCGCTTTAAATGACTCGTGACATGTTCCTACATTTTCGGCCCGAAAGCCCATAGCTGGGCTACCGCGCGTGCGAGCTTTATTGGCCGGACGATGGTGGTTGATTTCAAGTTCCGGCGACATCGTAGCCGTCCGATCTGGTCCAGGCTCCATGCTGTCCCTTTGCCCATCTTTCTCGTTTGACTCCGTATGAACGTGAAGAATTTCCATGGCCCACGATCCCAATCAAAGATAAACCGGATCCTGGGTTGTGGGGGCCAACATGCTGGGCATAACTAGAGGATTTTGATGTGAGAAATATATTACCCGATGCGTTTCTCGTATCGTAACTTTGTAATCGTGATCGATTGTAATTTCTATAGTCATATTACGTCACTATAGAGAGCCATCCTGTAAAGCCTATCAATAAGTTTATGTACTATTCATCAATATACACAATATTCTAATATGGTATCAAAGAGGGGGGAGACTACATGAATATAATTGGGACCCGTTGTCAAATCATGTGGGATAATACGAGACAATACTTCAATAGTTGATATCGAGAAATGAGCAATGTGAGATAGTTGTGCCATAGAAGTAAAAGCTTCCCAAACTCATAATAATGGAAAAAACATACTCAAGTTTTCAATTCGAGCAATCTAATCTCGAACTCAAATCGAGCTCTAAATTTGCTATTAATCCTAAAAGGATAGCGTTACCGATTTCTCGACTAAAAGGAAAATCTTTAGAAAGCTTTTGTTGGTTAAAAAGGAATAGTTTTAATTGCAAAATCAGTAGGAATATTCAACGTTGTTCCTTTTACGTTATTATTTGGCTAAGATTAAATTATAATCTTATTCGCTGTATGCAATGGTCCTGGTCCGTCTTGCTTAGACATTCGTGATTTTTGTCAATCAATTAAACAAATAAGGTTTAGTTCAAAGTTGTACTATTCGTAGCATAGTCTATTGCTAATATTAGTGTGAACTTGACGTAGTTGGTCTTGATATGATGCCAACACTAACGAGGATTTCGAACCAAAATCACCATAGACTCAATGTAAGAGTATACAGGCAACGTGGGCTTCGTACAACATGAGAACCTCTTTTGGTTACGACTTTCACGTATTAGGATTCTTGGAGGGCCGAAAATTAGGAAAAATTACCAAACAAGTTATAAACCTATTACATTGGTACCAATTTAGTCCTAAACTTTTTAATCGGATCAATTTAGTCATAAATATTATTGAAAATATGTCTCGAGTTTGAACCCGAAGCAAAAATCTAAATATTCCGAATTGGATATTTTACGGATTTCTGAAATCGGGTAAAAGGAAATATACGGACACATCAATTTTGTTATTCTCACGTTGGAGTCCGAATCGTGAGATAGAAAGACAGAAAAGGACAGTCCAATTGTGTCAGAGAAAGGAAGGAAACACTACTTGAAGTCGGCCAAAGAAAAGTCAAAAGAGGAAAGTTCAAACTTTGACTAGTTGACCGAATAACATGATTTCCTAATCCATGTTGACGTGGGCTTCTGAAGGTGCTCTTCTTTTTTGGCTATAAATATATTCAGTGGGCACTTTGGGCGTGTTGTTGTTGATAAATACGTGAAGTGAAGACTTCTTGAAGCGCCGCTCCGCAAGCGAGTGCTTGGTCGTGGGTTCGTGATTTTATTCGTGGAATTATACCAAGAATTTAAGTATTTGTAGCGATTAAATCTTGTGTTAAGATTTATGTACAATTCTTTTGCGAGATTGAGAGATTATTTAGTGAGAAATTATGGGACTAAATACTGCGTGCATTATTGGGTGTAATTGGGGCTTAGGAAACACTTAGAGTGTTTGAGTGATTCGAGTGTGGTTGTAATCTCCGTTGTATCGCTTGATCTATAGTGGAATTCCGTGCTGCTCTCCCCGTGGACGTAGGTCACTACGACCGAACCACGTAAATCTGGTGTCCGATTTATTTTCTTATTCTGTCAAATTTATTGTTCGATCGCTTGGCTTCCGCAACAAATATTTTTGCATTTGTACCAATTGAGTTCATCTGTCCAATTTTGGCTAGAAATCGCTGACGTGGACACCGATCGTCCTATGTGACACGACGTAGGATGGCTGGTGCTGTTGTGTACATTTTTAAATTTAAATTTTCTATAACTTTTTTTGGTTTATTCTTTTTTCTTTCTTTTCTATTCTTCTTTTTTTGCCATGGGCTAGCAAGGGCTTCTGGTTGACCCTTGTTGGCCATGGGCAAGGGCATCCCGGCCCTCGTCGGATCGGGGCGAGGGCCTTAAAGGCCTCGCTTGATTTGGGTGTCGCGGCCCTCACCAGCGAGGGCTGCGACGCCCTCGCCTTAGGTCGGTGAGGGCCGTGACGCCCTTGCTTGGCCCAAATCTAGCGTGAATAGATGGTGATGTAGTTGACCTTCAAGGGCTTTGTGGTGGCTCTTGCCCAGCATCGCCAGCGAGGGCATTTCAACTCTTACCCAAAGCCAACAAGGGTTGGGCGACGGCCCTTGCCGGCCCTCAACGAAACAAAAAAAAAGAACAGAAAAGAAAAGAAAAAAGAAAAAAATCAAAAAATTTATAATAAATTCAAATTATTATTCAAATATTATTTAAAAATGTATTCGTCAGTGTTGGCCGTCCTACGCCATGTCGTATAGGACAGCTGGCGTTCACGTCAGCAATTTCTGACAAAAATTGGCTGGATGGACTTAATTGGTACAAATGCAAAAATGTTTATCACTAAATTGGTCAAATTAAATGATTTAGCACTAGATTGGTGCCAATACAATATGTTTATGACTTTTTTGGTACTTTCTCTCTAAATTGACCAAATTGAAAGGTTTAGGACTGAAATTGACACATATGCAATAGGTTTAAGATTTTTTTGATAATTATCCCTAAGCTTATCCGAAGGCACTTGGATGGAACATGACGGTGTTGTTGGCTCTATTTCTTGCGCCAATGGAGAGATATTAAGGATGCTTTTAGTCCAGTCCCATGTGAAATATCTCAAGAAAAGGGTAGAAAGCATACTCTTCATGGGGTTTGTTCTTATGGCTCAAGTCCACATCGACATTGGAAGTCAAAATCATCAACCACGATAGAGTAATTATGGAGCCGTCAAGGTTGCTGGAAAAATGTAGTTGTCCTTGATAGTAACTTAGTAAAGGACAGACAAAATTTCAAGATACTCTCGCAGAAATAAACATTAAAATCATATTCTTTTAAATGAATTCATATCATGATTAATTTTCGAAATTGAAGTTCATTCGAATCGTAACTTTAATGACATTTAATTAGGTATTTTTAGTCACGTGAAATCTTTCTCTCTATGTCTCCCAAAATTTCCTTTGAAAGAATAATAGATAGATTTATTCAATTAATGGGAAGATGAAATGATTTGTTTGATAAAATGATGGGCTTATTATACTTTAACGAGTTAGATTCTCCACTCCATACCATTTCATTCGCCTAATATCAGCACCTAGAGAGGGGGAAAAGCGTAAAAAAAGTCCCAAACCCATTGCATTTGTGTCAATTTAGTCCTAAATCTATTGCATTTGTGCCAATTCAGTCCTAAACCTTTTAATATAGTGTCATTTAAGTACTTCCGGCTAATTTTGGCTGGATTTTGCTGACGTGGACATCAGCGGTGCCACGTAGGCCCGCCGGTGATGACGTAGATAATTTTTAAGAATATTTTAATATTTTTTCGATTTTTTAAATTAATTTTCTCATTAATTCTCCTTTTTTTTATCTTTTCTTTTTTGACTTTCTTCCTCCTCGATGGCCGCCCCTCGGCCATGGCGGGATGGGCTGCCCTCGCCCAGGCAAGGGTTGGCCTTGCCCGGCCAAGCAACGCCCGGCTCGGCTTAGACGAGGGCTCCCCTCGCCAGATTTGGCGAGGCCACCTTGGCCTGGACGAGGGCCGGCCCCGCTAGATTTGGCGAGGGGAGCCTCCGTTGGGGCTAGGCCTCGCTCAGGCGAGGGTCGACTTGTGGCGGGCGACGACGGTCTCGCCCAGGCGAGGCCAGCGAACCCCGCCATGGCTGAGGTGGCCAGCCACAGGTGGTCGGTCACCGGAAAAAGGTTGAAGAAAGAAGAAAGAAAAAAGAAAAGAAAAGAAAGAAAACAGAAAAAATTAGAAAAATAATTAAAAAATCGAAGAATATTAAAATTTTATTAAAAATTATCCACGTCAGTGCCGGTGGCGTCACGTAGGTCGGCCGGTGTCCACGTCACCAAAATCCGGTCAAAATTAATCGGAATGACTGAATTGGTACAAAGACAAAAGGTTTTGGACTAAATTAGCACCAAAAAAAGGTTTAGGATTAAATTGCCACAAATGCAAAAGGTTTAGGATTTTTTCAACACTTTTCCCCCTAGAGAGGCATATTAGGAGTTGCTAAACGATAGCCGAATTTAGTGAATAGAGTATGTCTCGGTTCTCAATATGGAGCTACTTGCGTTTATTCCGATATTCCAACTACTTTCAATAGATTTGCTCAACGAATAAGGGGAGAGCAACCTATGACCCTCTTCAGGAAGCATTTTAATTGATTTGCACATACGTTGTGCATGCTGTTATATACTAAATCTTCATAAGGAAAAAAAAGATAGACAAATATGCGGTGTGTATTTTGAGATGACTCGATGGAGCCATTGCAAATTACTAATTCTTTATAAGATTGTTTTGACTAAAAAATTATTGAATAGAACCTTGATGGAGGATAAATATGTCGCATAAGTATGCATTCGGGGTTTTTCTATATCACAAGAAAAAGTTCAGGGTAAATATGTCATAATGGCCATATTTTGGGATTTTCTGTGGCTTTTTCCCAATTATTAGTGACCAAAATCCAGATAATCACAAATATAAAATGATATTTAGTTGATTTAATTCTTCTAATTACATTTTAAGGTGATTTATCTTTTATTCTGTTTACATCAATCTTTAATCTCATTTTAAAGAATCATACTTTCATTACTATTTTTCTTCTTATACGAGTTTAAAAATCTAATATTAAATATAGCTTTCTAGTATAAATATTATAAAATGTATGAACTTATATGAGTTAAACTCTATACTCATTTAGTCGTTGTGCACATGATCAGAAAACGTCGTATACCTAATATTTACATTTCTCATTTATCAATCTCAGATATGACTATTCCTTTTCTCTAAAATTAGGAGAAATGAAATTGAACACGTTTGAAACTAGCGTTTGGCCTTTTATGGACTTGGCTAGCATTTGATATTTACGGCTGTATCTCAACAATTTGAAATTAATTTTTCACATTTTGAAGCAAATCCACCGGTTGCCCATCCTAAGCAAAAGAGAAATTGTGGTATTGCTGGCACCGATACTATTTGTCTGTAACAGAGCTTTTATGCTAACCAATGTCAAAAAAAAAAAAAAAAAAAATCAACTAGCGAGAGAAAAAAGTGTTAACGAAAAGACTAACATAGACATTTTCTAAAAAAGTTGAGGGGGACGTTTTTTAACAAAAAAGAAGAAGAAGAAGAAGGAAAAGATAGATGAATGATTTTGATTTCGGACAAATTAATAGAAAGACAATGGTGATGTTATTACTTAGATAAAACTGAAAAAAAAAAAAAAATCTTCATCCCACGACACTTTCTCGAATCTTGTTTCTCGCCTCCCACAAGTTGAAACTTTGTGGTCCATGTTGCACTTTCTCAAATTCAACATAGCGATGCGGTCATGGTGGCTGTACTCTAATTTTTATTTGCGAAATTCCAAAGATAGTAGGAATATTCAATGTAGCTCTTTTTACGTTGTTATTTGGCTGAGATGATATTATAATCTTATCGCTGTATGCAATGGTCCGACTTGCTTAGACATTGATTTTTTTCAAGCAACAAAACAAATAAGTTTTAGTTCAAAGTTGTATTATTCGTAGCATAGTCCATTGTTACTGTTAGTGTGAGGTTGACATATTAGGTCTTGATGCCACCGCTAACGAGGATTTCTAACCAAAATAACCAAAGGCTCAATGTAAGAGGATACGAGCAAAGTTGGCTTCGTGCAACATGAGATCCTCTTTTGGTCACGATTGGGGCAGGAAAATTGTTTTTAGGGTTAATACTACGAAAAACCTCAAATTGGTACGCATGTGACAAATTTATTCTAAACTAATTTTTTGACTACCAAAAACTCCAAATTGGTACACCTATGATAAATTTACTATAAACTAATTTTTTGACTGTAAAAAAATCATAAATTGGTACTTTTGTGATAAATTTACCATTTGTTAGTTTCCGTTAAATTGGATTTATATAACGAAAAACCCTAAACTGGTATACCTGTGACAAACGAAGGGTAAAACTCCAAATTGGTATATTCGTCAACTGTCACGTGCCATCCAACCCGGCAATTTAACAGTAAAATTTAAAGAAAACTAACGGAGGGTAAATTTATCACAAATTTACCAGTTTAGGATTTTTGGTGGTCAAAAATTAATTTAGGGTAAATTTATCACATGTATACCGGTTTGGGGTTTTTCGTAATATTAACCCTTGTTTTTACTAGAGCTGTCAATTCATGATGATTCATGTTAGCTTGATACATTAGTATTTGTGGGTCATGCTGTCGAATTATTAGACTTACAATGGATTGTGTAATGAATTGTGTCTAATACTATCGTTGTAACCATCCAACTCAGTCCGTTTGAGCCAAATCCTCAAAATGGGTACCGAAGGTGGTGACGAATTGGAGGCTATCTCACTGATTAAGAATCCAAGCCACAAGTCTCTCCCATCTAATATGAAATTGGGGTGTTACAAACTCACTCACCCAAAGCATTGACGTCACCATTATCGTCGGTCCATATTGATGGTAGATATTTTCCTATTCGATGCATGATTCGGCCAATTCCCACCTCCATCACTGTCTTAGAAGTTTGTTAGGAGCAACATTTTGTCTAAACCTTCTCGTCTCATCTATCATTTCCGCCCTCATCGGATTGTTTCAGAGTCTTGTCTATCCTCGAACCACGCATGTGCTCGAGAGGGTCTTATTTTGATACAATTTATAAGGACCCGGCCAAGGCCTTCCGAGACTATCATTTTGTTTACTTCCTTAAAAGACTCAATTCACACGTTTCAGGTCGGCTCATTAAACCCGGCCTTAACTTTCACGTGTTAGGATCCTTGGAGTGCCGAAAAATCATTTATGAGGAAGTACTTTTACGGATCTAATCCATACAAATCGAAATAATCATTGATCGTCGTGAGGCTCAAACAATAAGTGGTCGAGGTTTGCTGTCCACCGAGCAAGGATCTTTCCATATGAGTTTTGTCCGGAGGAATTAAGGAGCCGTCAAGGTTGCTGGAAAATGCAGTTGCCATCAATAGTAACGACAGACAAAATTCCAAAATACGATCATGGCCACCAGAGAAGCTGCCCTACCGCTCGTGATAGGGCGCAAAAGGGCAAACAGAGGTTAGGTGGGCGATTCCTCAATAGTTTCTTGAGATCATCTTCTTTTAAATGGATTTATGTCATGATTAGTTTTCGAAATTAAGTTCATTCGAATAGTAACTTTAAGGACATCTGAAGTATTTCAGTCACATGATATCTTTCTCCCTTTGTCTCCCAAAATTTCCTTAGAAAGGATTATAGATAAATTTATTAAATTAATGGCAAGATGAAGTGATTTGTTCGATAAAATAATGGGCTTATTATACTTTAATGAGTTAGATTCTCCATTCCATTCACCTAATATCAGCACCTAGAGAGGCATATTATGAGTCATTAAATGATAGCCGAATTTGGTAGATGGAGTCTGTCTCGGTTCTCAATATGGAACCACTTGCTTTTATTTCAACATTCCAACTACATTCAATACATATGCTCCGCGAATCGGGGGAGAGCGATCTATGACCCTCTCTGGAAAGCAACTTAGCTTTTTATTTTTTGCACATACATCGTGCATGCCGATATGCTAATTCTTTATAAGGTAAAAAAAAGAAAGATAAATGGATGAAGATGCTGCGTGTAATTTGAGACGACTCAATGGAGCCATTACAAATTGCTAAATTAATCTCGTTTCTTTAAATAGAGAAATCGGACAATGGATGCTGCTAATTAAAAACCAGCTATCACTGTTACAATCAAAAGAGATTTCACGATCGATATTACTCATGTTTTGTCTGGCGAATCACCTTTGGTGACGCCCTCACATATTCAAAGGTCCACCCGAAATTCAATACATCATTTCTAAAATCAAATTCAACAGAATTTACTGTCTCCCTAGCATTTTACTCCAATCTAATTGCAGGAGTAGGTATACAAAAGAGGGTAAAATTTTTTTTTGTTTTTCTTGAATAAATTGAAGATTTCATTTTCTATAACAAGCATATATTTTTTTAAGCTCCTTTTTATGGCAATGCAATCTTCTCATTGCCCCCCCTCCTCCTCTTCCTCCTCTTCCTCCTCGCACTTCATCTGCACAGAATGAACAACCAGAAGGCCACGAGCGCCGCCGATCCGAAGCCCACGCACAGGGCGTCCAACGTCCCCTCCGCCCTCGCCCGCCTCTCCCTCCTCTCCCTCCGCCGCTCCAAGAAATCGTCGTACCTCCTCCGCCCCTCCTCCTCCTCCCTCGTCTTCTTCCCCCTCTTGCCCTCCATGGCCCTCCGCAAGATAGCCAGGCTGTCCCCCCCGTTCAGGTACGTCCCCTCCATGTCCTCCACCTGCGCGCTCACCTCCCTCACCTGCATGGCCCCCCCGCCCGACCCCCCGCACGTGACGGCGATCGTGCAGGCCACCCGCTCCGCCGCCGTGCCCCGCTCTCCGTAGGGCAGCACCGTCGCGAACCGGGCGTGCACCTCCCCGCTGAGCCAGTGGCGTTGGATGGATACCGGGGCGGCGCTCGAGAGGTTCATCGCCCGCCGCCCCTCCGGGTCGATCAGGACCCAGCTCAGCCTCAGGCTGTCCCCAAGGTCGCCGCACGCGTCGTCGGGGCTCGGGAAGGGGACTGGCGTCGGCACTGCATCCTTTGGCTCCAGCATGTCGATGCGGAACGGGGAGCACCGGAACCACCCGGTCTCGGTCTCGGTCTCGGCGGTCTTGCTAAAGATGAGCTGCCCCCGGTAGCGGATGTCGACGGCCGAGATCAGCTCCGATGGGCGGCGGTGGAGTTCGGTAGGCGGAGGGGGATGTGCCGTCGAAGGAGAGCCGGCGTTGTCGGCGAGAAGGGGGTACGCGTCGGTGAAGAAGGACCAGTGGCCGCCAGGAAAGGTGGAAATGATGCGACAGACGTGCGGCGCATTGATCGACGGCCAAGTGGAGTGGGAGATGTCGGCCCAGAGGCGCTCGTCAGACGAGAGCGCGCTCAGGCAAGTGGAGACGCAGGAGGCGGAGGCAAGGGCGGGGCCGTCGAGCCGAGTGAGGATGTGGGATTGGAGGATGTCGTGGTGGATGTCGGAGAAGGAGGAGGCGGCGGTCTCTTTTCCGCTGGTGGTCTTGGCGGCCGTTGGCCGCGGAGTTGGGCCGGAGCACGGGGAGGAAGAGCTGAGAATGGGACGCATGGCGGAGTTGGTTTCGGGGTCACTTCGGGAGAGTCACGGGACTCACAGAAGTCAGGACTTGGAGGAGGGTTTTATACACTAGCGAACGCGAGAGTGTGAAGAGCGTACTTTTCGATTTCGCAAAAATGCACCTATACTATAGTATCTTTTCTCGTTTACCCCTCGTTGTTAGAGAATGACATAAACGATCACTGAACTTTTAATTTGCTCAATGTAATCTCTGAATTTTATCCCCTTAAACTTTTAATACATGTTCAATTTAGTCCTTGAAATGTATGGAAATGTTCAATTATCCTTTCATTAATTCAAGTTCAGGATCAGCATTAAATTTTTTCGTATAGTTTATGGACTATATTGAACATGTAATAAAAGTTTAGGTACCATATCAAATAATTTAAAAGTTCAGGGACCGCTTTACATATTGGATTAAAGTTCAGGAACTACATTGAATAAATTAATAATTCAGGGATTACATTGCATATTGAACTAAAATTCAGGAATCATTTGTGTAATTTTTTCTTATTTTTTAAATGTTTGAGTAGGCATACGTTGACCGACTGCTTGCTTGGTTGGACCTGGGGACCGAGAGCTCTAGTTTCTTTGACTATAGTTTTGGGGAAGGATTTGACCGTGACTTCTCGCGCCGACACTTGCATCGGACCGTCCATTTCTTTCGTCAAAGAATGTAAATCTTGCAATCGCAACCATTAAAATCGCCAATTGTTTCCATGGACCGCCCCTGCAATTTGGGAATCATTTACATTTCGCATCTTCTCTAAATTACAAGAGTATCCGAGCACGGCAATCAAATCATGTCAAATTATGCCATGTCACGGTCATGTGTAGGCGTGAGCGGTTCCAGGTTCCGGGTAGGTTCCGCCTGGAACCTGGAACCTACCCTCGGGTACAGGTTCCTCAAAATGAGGAACCTGGAACCTACCCGTCGGAACGTGGAACCTGGAACCTACCCTGTCACAGGTTCCAGGGTCGGTTCCAGGTTCCAACAGGTTCTTTTTTTTTAATTTTATTTTTAGTTAATCAAAATGAAAATGAACATTCATTAAAAAGAATACAAAAGACAAATTATAGAAAAGTCACATTTTTTCTTAAAAGAAAGGGGATAGCACGATAAATAGTAATTGTTGGGATGCAATACATATGACTTTAAATTCCAAGGTAAGATGTCACATTTTTCGCAATACATATCACCTTTCTCCCCATACATGCTGCAAAAGCACAAAAGTAGAAGACCAAAAGCTTCTTCGGTATCCACTCCGGCATTAAATTTCTTCCTCCTTTAAACAACCGCGAGGTCAAAGGCACGCACAAATAATTGGCAGAATGATACAGGCCTTCATTGTGCAAAACACATCCCGAATCTATCTTGACCCATATTATTTCCTACAAGTTCACCAGATTTTCATCACACGATTGCTTCTATCAGACTTGAAGTCTGATATTAACATGGCCCATTAAGATAGAAAATAGACTATCAAACTGAAAGGGCAAAGAAGTTAAACATGCTGCTTTTCTATTTTCGATGCAGATCACTATTTATTTTTCGACGGTTCGGAGGAACATCCAAAAACACCATAATTATGGTGAATAACAGCCTGACACAACTTTTAAGAATGTAAATTTCAAAACAGAAGTCTGCGTTATTTGGCTTTTAAACTTTGTTTCGAAGATGGGGAAGGGGAGAAAATGAGAGGCAAGGTAAAAAGTCGGGACCAAATTTTACAATTTTTGTGAGAGAAATTTCAAATTCTCCTTGACATTGTGTAACCCCCACCTTTGTCGCCCCAAGAAAAAAAATCTTCCAAACAAAGCATAAGTATCCTTGCATTTTAAATGGTTTCTTCAGTTATCAGGAATCCATACATTAGATGGATGGAGTTCCAAGATTCAATTCTAGGTCCTATGACCCCAGACCGGTAATACCAGCAACACTAGAACAGCAGAATCTAATCAAAGGGTTTACTTTCATTCGTTACACATTTCAACTCTAATCTCAGAAGGTAACATAATAACATTGTATGACATAAAAAAGAAGCAGACACTTTCAAGCAATTTATGGGTGCAAAAAGTACCTCCTTTCCATGTCTCTATCCTGGCAAACAAAACATCTTATCTTATAACTCGATATTGTTAACCTGATTGAGAGAAGGGAAATAGTATCACCCACCAACTGATGTTTCCGCTGATCTATATTTTCAGAAAGCTTCAACACATGAAGTTTCAAAGACTGTATAACAAGAATAGTAAATAAGTAAGATTTTCATATATAACATGATTTCAAAAGAAATTAAAAAAAAGGAAGAACAAGCCAAGGAGATAAAGAGGCTCTGAATAATATTTTGCAACTTCAGGCATTTACATGATTGCAAAGAGACGACCTTAGCTGCTCCTTCAAAGACAACCAAAGTATTAAGACAATTCATATCAATTTATTGGTAAAATAAAATAAGTATTAGAAAGCCTACCACATATATTCATTCCGCTTCAACTGGTAAACTCTATTTACTGACGATAATCTCCTCATTCAAACAATCCATATCTAAAAAAAAGAAAGATTAAATAAAATATTCACTTATTAGATATATAAAAGTAATTACAATATATAAAGATATAAACATCACTTACCCATCTCAAATTTTTCCGCATTTTCGATACACTCTTCAATATCAATCGGCACACGAACGGCTCTCAACCAATCTTGAGTGCAAATCAAAGCTTCCACTACTTTGGGAGTCAAAGAACTTCGAAAGCTGTCAAGCACACGACCCGATGTACTAAAAGTCGACTCCGAAGCAACAGTAGTTACGGGAATAGACAAAACATCCCGAGCCATCAAAGATAGGATTTTATATTTTGAGCCACTAGTCTTCCACCACATCAAAAGGTCAAGATCAAGAATATTTTCATTTTTTTCTTCAAGATATTGATCAAGCTCAAATTTGTTGTCATTGCACATATGTTGGTTCGAGTGCATAAAGGTTTTTCGCCAAGCTTGGGCGTCATACTTCTTGATCTTGCTACCTTCACTACCACCGGCATCGGCATTGGAACCACTACTACTAGCACTCAAACTTTGGGCACCAAAATTTCTATCACTTGAAGCAAGAGAAGATTGTTCATAAAATTCATATAAATGCTCCAATGCATCCTTCACCTTGTAATGCATCTCATTGACTTTCAATTCATCATCATAAATTTGTCCATACAAGAAATTCACATAACTCAACTTGGCTCTAGGATCCAACACAGCCGCAATCAACACCAACATATTCACTTTATCCAAACTCCCATAGTATTTGTCAAATTTCTCTTTCATTTTCATACCCATAGCTTGAAGCTTAGGATCCGAAGCATCCGCCGCATCTTTCAAATTTTTATACAAAAGAGCTATCCCTTCAAAATAATCATTTGAAGTAACATATGAACTCCTCGACATCCGATTGGTGGCATCATAGAATATTTTTAGAAATTCCGAAAGAATAATGGCATTTTCCCAATCATCATCTTTAGGAAGATCATGGTTAAGCTCACTAGCAAAAGCTGAATCGTCTTCTTCCATCCTTTCAAAAGCTTTTCTAAATTTTATGGCGGTATCTAACATGAGGAAAGTGGAGTTCCATCTAGTGGCAACATCAAGAATAACCGAACCCTTGTAAGTAATCTTTTCACCCTCAATGCAAGATTTAAATGTATTGGCTCTCATGGGAGAACTCCTCACATACCTAACCACGTTTCGTATACGTGCAATAGATTCCCGTACCGTAGTCAAGCCATCTCTAACAATCAAGTTTAATATATGAGCGGTGCACCTCATATGTAAAACACTACCATCTAAGATCAACAACTTTTCTCTTGAAAGTTTTTCCTTCAAATAACCAATTGCAACGTCATTCGAACTAGTATTATCCACGGTGATTGTGGATACCTTCTTTTCTATTCCCCACTCGTTGATGCATTTCTCCACCATTCTCCCAATCTCTCTACCCTTGTGACTAGGCATCACCACAAAATTGATGATTATTTTATGCAACTTTCAATTTTCATCAATAAAATGTGCAGTGAGACACAAATAATTCAGGTTTTGAATGGAAGTCCATGTATCGGTTGTGAGTGCGATCCTAGAATTTATATTACCAAAGTAAGTCTTCAAACAAGTTCTTTCACAAAAATATAGCTTCATACAATCTTTAGCCACTGTAAAACGTGACAAATGTTTAAAGAGAGGTTGTAACTCCGTGACAAACTCGCGAAATCCAACACGCTCAACCAAGGAAAACGGTTGTTCATCAACTATGATGAACCGAGCAAGCATTTGCCTACAACGTTCTTGATTAAATGACCATGTCGATAAGACACTACCAGTACTAGAACCTCCCCCTGCCTTGTCAGCCAAGTCTACGTTACGCGGTGCAAAGAATTTCTGCGTCTTATCAACATTGCAAGGAAACTTCTTACATGTTTTCAAGTGCTTCCTCATTGCGGAAGTAGCATGAGCAACATTGTACTTTAACTCAGACCCACAATGAATGCACTTCACCTTATATGTTTTTCCATCCCCATCTTTGATTCTTGCAAAATGATTCCAGCAATCTGATGTATATTTCTTATTAAAAGGAGGATGACGAGAATCAAGTACCTTGTTTGTCGCACTCGTGGTAGGGGATGGCTCTTCTTCATTTTCATCGCCCGACAATTCAAATTCTGTGTTCGGAGTCATCTCCTCACATCCATTAACCTTCATTGACATGTTATCTTGAATTCTTGATAGTTGATATGTCAATCAAACAATGCTGGCCAAGCAAACAACACGAGAACAGATTAGCACCGTCTTCAGCTAGTTTAGCATAGGGAGTGAGAGCTGGTAATCTTATTTAAGAGTTAAGACTTGGATCTTGGTGAAGGTAGACCACTGTAAGAATAAATGCTCATTCCCAGGGTACTCTACCCACTGTACCTGCTAGATACATGGATGTGGCTCTTCATCCAATTTTATTTTCAGTAGAAAAGAGGCATTAAAC